CCAAATACACCCTAGTTACACATCCAGGTGGAATACAGCCAAATACACCCACAGTGACACAGCCTAAATATGCATTGCCAAATACACCCCACAGAGTTACACAAGTCAACCACACTGCCAAATACACTCCACACAGCTACACAGCCTCAGGGAGTACAGCCAAAAACACCCCTCAGTTGTACATCCTAAATGCGCACTGCCAAACACACCCCACACAGTGACACAAACTAAGCATGCCTTGCCATAGACACCCCAGAGTTACACAGCCTGATGGAATACAGCCATATAGACCTCACAGTTAAACAGCCTACAATGTGCCCTGCCAAGTACACCCCACTCAGTTACACATTCTGAAGGAACACAGCCAAATACACCCCACAATTACATATCCTAAATGTACCCTGCCAAATACACTGCACAGTTACACATCCTGATGGTACAGAGCCAAATACACCCAACAATTACAAATCCTACATGGGCACTGCCAAATATACCCCAAAGTTACACAGCATCACTGGATACAGGCAAATACACCCCACAGTTACACATCCTGATGGAATATAGCCAAATACACCATAGWGTGACACAGCCTGAATGTGCATTGCCAAATGCACCCCACACAGCCACACAGCTTCAGGGAACACAGCCAAATACACCCCACAATTATACACCCTAAATGTGCACCGCCAAACACACCCCGGAGTCACACAGCATCACTGGATACAGCCACACAGACCCCACAGTTACACACTGATGGAATTTAGCCAAATACACCCCACACTTACACAGCCTAAATGTACAGTATCAAGTACATCCCATCGCTCCAGAGCATTACTAAATATAGACAAATACACCCAAACAGTTAAACATCCTGATGGTACAGCAATGCAGAATATTCACAATTCCTGCAGTGTGGACAGGARAAYTGGCCTSTATCAGTAACGGCAACATGCAGGAAAGTATTTTATAATGCACCTTGGATGGAAAGAATTTCTGAATCTGAGCTGCTATCAGAGAAGAAACATGARACATTGATTTAAAAGACCAGAGAGRTGRTTTTAGGCARTTCTGTCTAGTTGGTTAGAATTAGTTTATCAGACTGAACTATAGTCAGTCATGGTCTTACTACTTTGGTTATTGTGCTTCTTTTCACTCTGGTAGAATTTGATGTTAGAAATGTTTTGTATTTTAGCCTGTCTGTG